CGGTGAACAAAATGAGATGTATATATAGTCTGAGTAAATGAGAGGCAATTATATTAACTGCCGTCCTCTTCGATGAATCGCCCGTGAGCCGGTGAAACACGTGGCGGTCGGCACTCGCGCACATGTGAGCCTGAGTCGTCGTGTTGATGTACCCGAGTAGAGCTGGATGAGCGGTCGCTTTACATGTTAATGCAGTATCTCGGCAGCTGTTGTAATCACTACGGTGGGCACTTCAATGTGTAGTCACAATCGAAAATGCACAGAGCACACGTCGTGCGTCTAATCACTGCGCGGCCATTTTTCCGACTCCGAATCTCGCGAGGAAGACGTTGGCGATGAGCGCGCCCGTGCGTGCGCAAGCTGCCGCGGTGATCGGGAGTCGATACCCGATCGATGCTGCCATCTGATCGGACGGCGCAACGTTAACGGAATCTCGAACATTCCGCCCGCCATCAGCAACCTTGTTGATGATTCCTTACTCTTGATCCTTCCTTTGGTTGAAATGGGTAATATGGCGAGCTTGGCACTTGGCCGATTGAGTGTCGTGGTGGCCGTCTTGAGGGTAACCACCCTGGTGAGTCCATCCTTGCCGGGGTGCAAAACTGGTACTCTGGTGAGTGGCCACTTGCACGGTGGAGAGCGTTCGTCGGTGAGCAGCACGATGGAACCCATCTTGATGTTGTTGTTAGGATGATGCCACTTGGATATCGCCTGCTGGCGTTGCAGATAATGAGCCGACCTTTGTGCCTAAAAAGAGCGATAAACCTGGTGTGAGCGCTGAGACGTCTCCAGGGTCGTCACTCAGCGGTTCTAAGTGCCGCGAGTTGAGAATGTCCTTGGTTTGCGTAAGCAACTTTGTGAGTTCTTCCGTCGTGAGTAGTCTCCCCGATAATCCGTCTCAGATGAAACTTCAGACTTTACTACCGCCTCCCACTTGCCCCCCATGTGTAGTGTGCCTGGTGGGTTGAACTCCCGTCCTGTTTCAGTAAGTTATAAAACTTTAGCAATCCGTGATGTTCTTGAGAGCCCTGGATGAACATTTTCTTAAGCGCGGCGTCTGCTCCAATGAATGTTGTCCCGCAGTCCGAATACATGATCTGAGCAATTCCCCTTCTAGCTGAGAATCTCCGGAAGGTTGCTATGAATCCTTCTGATGGGTAGTCACTGACTACTTCGAGGTGAACTGCGGAGGTGGAAAAACAGACGAACACACGGATCCATCCTTTGTATGTTTTCGCACCTCGTCTTTTCCATGTCTTGATGGTGAGCGGTCCGGCATAGTCAACTCCTGTGTGAGTAAACGGACGTGACGGCGTGGCCCGAGAGAGAGGTAGTTGGCCCATCAGTTGATGAGCACGGATCCCCCTCTGCCGAGCACACACGACACACCGCAAAATATGAGACTTCACCGGAGCCCGTCCGCCGATGATCCAGTAGCTTTGCCTGACATGAGCCAATGTCAGCTGAGTTCCTCTAGTCAGGGTGCGCAAATGGGCGTGAGCGATGATTAAGGTTGAGAAGTGGCGAGGTAAAATCGCCTGATGTTGGTTGTCTTGATCTAGTGCTGATTGGTTGAGGCGGCCGCCAACTCGGATGATCCCTTGAGCGTCTATATACGCAGTCAATCGACTGAATGCGTAAGCAGTTGGTAGTCTCGAGTTGGCCGTGAGCATCTTGATCTCGTGCGTGAAGTATGCCGCTTGAGTAGCCTTAATCCAGAAGAGTCTGGCCTCTTCCAAAGCTGAGTGCAAGTCCAGTGGCTTGCGACGGTGTTTTCCCAGAAGCGATATGAATCTGAAACAAAGAGCTGTTATTTTCAATAACTTGTTGAGTGTTGAGTACCTATATATCAGGTCCCAGTGATAGTCCGGTTGAGATGCGGCCGCATGTAGCGCAATGCCAGGACGAGCCTCATGCGTGCTCAACTCGTCCGAAAGTGCGGGTTGAGATGGCCAAGCTTCAGGGGTGAGTATCCACGGTGGTCCCGTCCACCATAATGAGTGGCTTTGGAGTTGAGCAGTGTTTAATCCTCGTGAGGCGCAGTCGGCTGGGTTGGACGTACCTGGTACGTATTTCCAATGTGCGTTCGCAGTGAGCTCTTGAATTTGAGACCCGATTTCTCACGAAATCCTTCCAGCGCGATGCATGAGATTTGATCCACGTGAGTGTCACAACAGAGTCCGTCCACAGGTGAGTTGCTGTGACGTTGAACTTCAGTGTGGCTTGAACGTATTGCATGAGTCTTGAGAGCAGCAGAGCTGCGGTGAGTTCAAGTCTCGGGATGGTGAGCCGCTTGAGCGGTGCTACCTTTGTTTTGGAGCACACCAATGAAATCGTGGTACCATTTGAGCCGTGGACGGTGATAAATACGACTGCAGCCATTGCCAGTTGAGAAGTATCAGAAAAGCCGTGAAATTCCATTGACGAGGTACTCCATGTGGTTTGAGAGGTGCTACCTTGGTTGTACCACCGAGGTATTGAGAGCTTGATCAAGCTTGTGAGTTCTTTTCTGATAATGAGCCACCGTGATGAGAGCTGGGATGGCAGTGGTTCATCCCATTGGAACTTCATGTAGCCAAAGCTCCTGCAAGAGCATCTTCGCCTTGATCACCACTGGTGATACAAAGCCCAATGGATCGAGCATCTGAGCCACTTCAGACCGAGCGAGGCGTTTGGTGTGCGACGAGATCCTTTTTGAGAATGTGAATGAATCTTCTTGGAAAGCCATCGTAATCCGAGTTTTTGGTTAAGCAATCGTCAATGTAGGTTGTGAGCCCTGGTCCTGTTCTGCTTGAACCGCAGTGAGTCCGTCTTGATGAGTCGCGTGCTACCTTGCTGATGGGAGCCGCCCGCCATGCATAAGTCCGTTGAGCAGTATTGACTACCTGCTGAACGGTGTCGTCGCCTTCAGAATTGTCATCAACACATCGACCGTTGTTAGATGATATGGCACTTCATTGAGTTGTTCATCTATCCAGTGAGTCCGTTGTAACTTTCAGTCATTTTCATGCACGTTGATCGGCCTATACCCTTTGGTGATGTCAGTGGCAACTAAGTGCCGAACTTGTCGAATTCAGAGCAAGACATCGGTGATGTCGAAATACAGCTTGGCTCCTGTGTGCATGAGATCATTAAGTGAGCGGCTGGATGTAGATGCACTCGAGCCATTAAATACCACACGTCATGTTGTGGTTGCACTGTCTGGTCTGAGCACTCCGTGATGTGGCAAATAATGTTGTGTGAGCTGACTGGAAACGGTTGAAGCATTCTTTATGTGATTGAGCTCTTGATAGAGTATTATAAGCTGATGATACAGACGTCGATAGTTGTCATCTCGTGAGTGTCTTCTTCGTAAACCTGTTGAATCCCGTGAAGTAGTACTCTTAAAATGTTCTTCACATCCTTGCTCGTCAGGAGTAAGATCAAGATTGTTGCTCGCAGGCTCTTCTTCTTGTATCCAGATTTCGCCAGCAAGTCGTCAACAGCATCTTCTCCCTCCCGAACGGAGGCATGATGCACGGTGGCAATTGCCGATGATGATGTATTAACAGGTCCGAGAACGAGCTATCCGAAGAGAGCTGCGCAATTGGCATCAATGTATCTCGTTTGCTGATGTTGGGCTTGATGATCTGTCCATATGAGTCAGCTCCAATGATGATATCCACTGGCCGTGGTGTCAGAAAATCTAGACCAGCCAAGGTTAACTTGGTGAGATGCGGCCATTCCTGTGGTGCAACGTTGAAGGATGGCAGGATGTTTGTTAACGTCTGCAGAATGTGAGCTTAAATAATGACGTCTGTTCTTGAGTGAAGTGGGCGGAGCGTAAGCATTCAACTCCTCGAGTTTGCGTCGCCTTCTTCGCCACCAATTCCCGTGATGAGAATGACGGAATAATGAAGAGTGATGTTGAGCTGGCGACCGAGAAATTCTGAAACAAAGGTAAGTTCTGAACCTGAATCAATGAGAGGCCATACGCATTGAGTATGAACAGATGAGCTGAACGGAGCCAGGGCCGTAGCGAGTAATGTTGAGTGTAATGAGCGGGCCAAAGATGAGTGAGCGACGATTGCACCATCTTCCTATTGAGCTGACGCAGCTGAGCTGGTGATCGGCTTCGTTGATGAGTTCGACTGATGAGCCTCATGCAGCATCGTGTCGGTTGGTGCACTTCTTGCACCCCCGTGAGCCGTTACATGAGTGGCCGTTGTGGCGGACGAGGCATTTGAACCAAAACCTCCGTGGTATGACTAGTTTTTGTCGATCGCCTGTTGAAAGATCCCTAAATTACGTGCACATCACAATGAAGTGAGTGCCGTTGCAACAATCGCACGGGTAAATTAGATGCTGCCGTGCGGGTCGATTGAGCTGCCACATGCTGAGCTGTCAACGTGCGCTTTGCTGTTGAATGAGCGTCGACGGCTGTGAGGCTTCAAGATATGCATGCTCCTTGAGAAACGCCTTGTTCGCCTCTTCGAGATGCATTGAGATGTAGAAAATCTTCTCTAATGACGTGTCCTTTGCACAAGTTGGCAGCGTGTCGCCAATAATCCGCATCGTAGCCAGTCGGTTCATTTAAGATGAGCTCCGTAGACAAGCGTACGGGTGAGGCTTGGCGTTCCGATGTGCGAGCCGATGGTACCTCGAGCAGCGGCGTCGTGATCTCCGTACCGCCCGTTCCCGCCTTTGCGGGTTCCGTCATGTTGAGCCGTCCCTGAGCTGCGCA